TAGGTGTTTGGGTTACATGAATGTATTTATTTATAAAAATCTCTTTGGATATTGGCTGGGTGTGGTGGCTCATGCCTGTAATTCCAGCACTTTAGGAGGCAGAGGCAGTTGGATTGCTTGAATCCAGGAGTTCAAAACCATCCTGCCAACATAGTGAAACCCAGTCTCTATTAAAAGCAAAAACTAGCCAGGTATGTTGGTGCATGCCTGTAATCCCAGCTAATCAGGAGGCTGAGGCAGAAGGATCTTTTGAATCTGGAAGACAGAGGTTGTAGTGAGCTGAAATCGCACCACTGTACTCCTGCCTGGGTGAAAGAGTGAGACCCTGTCTCAACAACAACAAAAAACAAGAAACCTACTTGAACAGTACACTAAAGATTTGTGCATTCTACTAGATGTAAATTTTATCTGTAAAAAAAACTATATTAAGTTCTAATTAATGATATACATGCTGAACTATTTAGGAGTGAAATGTACTGATGTTTGCAACTTGCTTTGAAATGTGTAAAATGAAATAGGAATAAGTGCAGAGTAGTAAAGAAATGTATAAAATGTATTATGGACTGATGGGTGGTTAAATGAATGCACATGTTGATTAGCTGGATGAATATCTGGTAAAGCAAATATAGCAAAATGTTAACAATCCTGGAGTCTAGGTTGTAGATATATGGATGTTCCTGCACAATACTGTCAACTTTCTGTGTTTTAAAAATTTTTGCAATGAAATGTTGAGAGTAATGTAAAAAACCTAATGGAGTTATGAGATAATCCCATAGCAATTGAGAGAATAGGGAATGTGACAAGAGAGAAAATTCGGGAAGCTGGAAAGCAAATCGTGGAGGAATAACTGAGGTAGCATAACTGAGACATTAGAATCCTAAGTTAGGAGTGAGAAAAGCTGAGAGATAAATTCTTAGTCAAAAGGCTTATAAACTGGAAGCACCAGATACCATTGGAATTATGTGTGGGAGGGGCAGTAGGGAGTAAAATAAGGAGGGTCAGATGAATGCTGTTTGAGAGGCAGATGGGTCCTTGGATTTCCTTCCATGAGCATGCTACTCTGGGGTTACTTTAGAATTGGTAGTGGAAGTCAGGAAGTTTAACCCTGGAGATGGTAAAATAGAGAGTCTTTTGACTGGCAAAACCAGGAAGATTCTGAATGCTAGATATTGGGGAACCATCACTTCCAGCTTCCTTTTAATTAATTATTATTTTTAGAGACAGGGTCTCACTTTGTTGCCCAGGCTGGAGGGCAGTGGTGTGATCATAGCTCAGTGCAGCCTCGAACTCCTGGGCCTAAGCCATCCTCCCATCTCAGCCTCCTGAGTAGCTAGGACTACAGATATATATGTATGCCATCACATATATATGCCATCACACCTGAGTAATTTAAAAAAAATTATTTTTTTAGAGACCAGGTCTTGCCATGTTGACCAGGCTGGTGTCAAACTCTTGGCCACAAGTAGTCCTCCCACCTTGGCCTCACAAAGTGCTGGGATTATAGGTGTAAGCCACCATGCCCAGCTTCTTTTGTATACTGACTTCCCCAAAAGCTAAAATCTGGATTTCTATACTCTATTCAGGATGTTGGAGGACTCTTCTGTGTGTCACCTGACCAAGCTGATATAGTTTGGCTCTGTGTGCCCACCCAAATCTCATTTTGTAGCTGTCATAATTCCCATGTATTATGGGAGAGAATCAGTTCTAAAGAATGTAAATATAACCGAAGATTATGAATCATGGGGGCAGGTCTGTTCTTGAGATAGTGAATGGGTCTTGAGAGATTTGATGGTTTTAAAAACGGGAGTTTCTCTCTACAAGCTCTCTTTTTGCCTTCTGCCATGCATGTAAGATGTGACTTGCTTCTTTTTGTCTTCTGCCATGATTGTAAGGCCTCCCCAGCCATGTGAAACTATAAGTCCAATAAACCTATTTCTTTTGTAAATTGCCTAGTCTTGGGTATGTCTTTATCAGCAACGTGAAAATCGGACTAATACAAAGCCAGGAGGAAAAACCTAATGATACTGAGTTGGGAGTTTCCTAATAATTGAGCTTAGGGTGCTGGAGATGCCAAGTAAAGTGTGTGCATTTTTGACAACTGTGTACTTTTGGTGCCTATACAGTTAGAAATATTTTTCAACCAAGTTTTATGAAAATGCATACTTTGTTGTACTTTTTTTTTTTGAGGCTGTATTACCCCACAGAACACGTCATTGTTGTTTTTTGGGGAAGGGGCATATGTTACTAATACAATGTCTCCGAAGTGGATTGATGTGGGGAAAACACCTTTCCCTTCTAGTTTTGAGAGACTTCCTCTTGGCTCCCAGGAGGAGAGATTCCCTGATGTTGACACACATAGCCACCTTGGCACAAACACCTTGTGGTGTGGAAAACAAATTTGTCTTTATGTCCTCTTCTCCCATTCCACCTTCAGCACAGACTTAACTCCCTTATGCCCAGACATCTCTTGGGATTGACTCCTGGTAATTGGTTGCCAGTGTATCAGGCAATCTGCACTTTCCAGCAACACCACTGAGATGGCACTTTTCAAAATAGCAGCACTTCTGTTTCTAGATTGTAGATCTTTTGATAAAATCTGGCATTTTCATTTCACTTCCTAAAAGTCAGAGTCGGCTTTTGAAAAGTTGTTAAGCAACGTGTTAATGTGAAGTGTCAACCCCCACGCTATACTTTCCCTGTTCAGAACATCAAATGAAGACTTCCTTGGGTTTTATAGTGGCTTTCTGATTTTGGTAGTCCTTTGAAGGAGGGGGTTTGAAAGTTGTATACTGTTAACTGAAATACCTGCCTGCAATACCATTATTGTTTATGAAAAGTATAATTAATAAAGCTGGGTACACTTTGGCTTGGAAAAATTAAGAAATTAAAAATATGACGGCAGAAATGAAAAGTGTCCCTAGAAGCACTGGAAGATGAAGATGGAAGAAACCTCCCAGAAATTAGAATTAAAAAGACTGATGTAGAAAAATAGGAGAAAGAGATGAAAAAATTTGAAGGCCAATTTGAATAATAGGGAATAGTGAAAGAAAGAGGTTAGAGAGAAAACAGAGATGGATAAATCATCAATGAACTTGCTTAAGTTAACGTCTCAGAACTAAAGGATATAAATAGCCAGATTGAAAGAGTCTATTGAATATTTACTGTTATGGAAAGAAGTAGACTTACTGAAGGCATAGCATTATGAAATTTCAGAAAAATAAAGACAAAGAGAAGATTCTAAAGCTTTCAAGAGAAAAGAAAATTAGGTCAAATGCGAAGGATCATACGTCAAAATGGCCTCAGACTACTTTCCTGCAATGCTGGATGAGAGACTGTGGAACAATGTCTTCTGCAAATGGCTGCTGAATGGGAGGGAGACTTTTAACATATGTTCTTTTGTACGTTTTATACCTTTGTATTTTGAATGTTTTGAATGTATGATTCATTCAAAGTGCAAAGAAATATATATAGAAATAGTACTGCTAATGCAACCGTGGCATTTTTAGTTTAACTCGTGTTTTTATAAACATTGCCTCATTTTATCTTAACAACAACTTAACTAGAGACGGAGTCTCGCTCTGTTGCCCAGGCTGGAGTGCTTGGTGCAATCTTAGCTCATCGCAACCTCCGTCTCCCAGGATCAAACGATTTTCCTATCTTGGCTTCCTGAGTAGCTGGGAGTATAGGCATGTGCCAGCATGCCCAGCTAATTTCTTGATTTTTAGTAGAGATGGGGTTTTACCATCTTGGCAAGGCTGGTCACGAACTCCTGACCTCAAGTGATCCACCTGCCTCGGCCTCCCAAAGTCCTAGGAGTGAGCCACCATGTGCTTGGCCTTAACTAGGACCATTTTTATTCCTGGTGAGAATCAGAGAATCAGGGAGGTTTAATCAGGTGGCAGGTGATGGAGCCAGACCTGGAAGCATTTCCTTCTTTTCTAGGTGCTGAAACAGAGCAGCCGTGGTAGTGTGTTGATAGGTGTTGGTTATCCCTGAGGTAATAGGGTAAGAGGTGAGTTGCGCCTAAAACTGGGGAAGTAAATAGCTACAGTTCTAAGGGTTGGGGCAGTGGTTTCCAGTCTCAACTTTGTAACACTTGTGTAAGATATGTCACAACTAGTTTGTTATCAGTAGTCAAATATCAACATTTGTAATCTCCTGTTTTTAAACACTTGCCCTATATATCACAGTCTTAAAAATTGATTTTTCTGGCTGGGCGTGTGGCTCACTGCCTGTAATCCCAGCACTTTGGGAAGCCGAGGTGGGTGGGTCATGAGGTCAAGAGATTGAGACCATCCTGGCCAACATGGTGAAACCTGGTCTCTACTAAAAACACAAAAATTAGCTGAGGGTGGTGTCATGTGTCTGTAGTCCCAGCTACTTGGGAGGTGGAGGCAGGAGAATCGCTTGAACCTGGGATGCGGAGGTTGCAGTGAGCTGAAATCGTGCCACTGCACTCCAGCCTGGCAACAGAGCGAGACTCCGTCTAAAAAAAAATTGATTTTTCTTCTCTCTCTCTTTTTTTTTGAATCTGAGAGGAGGTCTCCCTATATTGCTCAGGCTGGTTGTGAACTACTGGGCTGAAGTGATTCACCTACCTCAGCCTCCAGAGTTGCTGGGAGTACAGGTGTGCACCACCACACTCAGCTGGTTTGTTTTTCTCGAATAGGACAAAAACTTATAGAGTTGCAGCTGTTGCTAGAAGTGCACCTAAAGTTGGATACGCCTTCAGAAATATGTCACACTGTTTCATAGCAAAATCATTGTTGTCTGAAGGGGAAGAAGAGATTGAGAAATTATAGGATAGATTGGTTTAGAGACTGAGCTTTTCAAGAGTTTACTGAACTGGAAAGGTTTTCAAGAGTTTACTGGAATGGAAAGGTTAAATGTTTTATCCTAAGATCATGCTATAAATGGTGTCAACTCCAATACGTAGGTTTTAGGGCTCCTTGTTACTTAATTCATGGTTGTAAATGTACCTATTATTCTGTTCTTAATAGCACAGAATTCAGAACTTCAAGCAAAGGCAAATGAGATTGAGAAAGAGTTTCAGACTTCTCAGCAAAAATGGAAAGAAGAATGCAGACGATTTGAACATGATTTGGAGGAAAGAGACAATATGATCCAAAATTACAATCGAGAATATGATCTACTTATGAAAGAAAAAAGCAGACTAGAGAAAACTCTACAGGTAAAGTAGTTTTTATAAAGGAATTTTCCTGTTCACTGAGATGTGTTGTATATTACTTGAAGTTATCCTGGATTTCTTTCCTTCCTTTTTCCTTCCTCCTACCTTCCCCCCTCCCTTTTTTTCTTTCTTAGGGGCATTTTTGCTGGTCTCTTTTGGAGTGTATTAATAGGTGTACTTTTTGGGGTGAAAAACAGTTTGCAGCCACTAATCAAAATGTTAAAAGCACTTATATAAGCACTTATATAAGCATATTGTAAGAAGGTAAGAATCTAGAGCTCATTTTGTCCAGCAACATGAAAATTGGAATTTTAGAAATATGGGCCTTACATATTGGTCTAAATATACGATAAATATAGAAAAATATTTGTGTTTGATATGAGCTTCGTTATCTATGTAGAGCATGTTATGTATAGATATGATATGTAACATATTTAAATTTTACTAAAATTATTGTGAGCCATTTATTCCCTCATTTTTTTGTTCTTTTTCACTCCCTAAAGTAAAAGCGGTATAAAGGTGAAGTTGCTGGTGACTTACAAGGTAGATTTTGAGTTGTCTATATTTGCCATTTTTTTTGAATAATGGAAAATGAACAAAGAAAAACAATAAACAAACGTGACAACACCAGGCATGGTGGTGTATGCCTGTAGTTCCCCCAGCTTAGCAGGGAGGTTGACTTGGGAGGATCACTTGAGGCCAGAAGTTTGAGGCCACAGTGTATCATGATTGGGACCTGTGAGTAGCCACTCTACTCCATGTGAGCAACATAGTGAAGCCCTGTCTCCAAAAAAAAAAAAGAAAAAAACAAAACAAAGAAAAGAAAACTGTGATAAAAATGTTCTGCCATTACCACTGGTGTAAATGGCTTTTTTGAATTTTGGAAATGTATCTTCACTAAAAATTCATTATACAGAAGCATTTACAAAATGTAAAAGTATACAAAATGTAAATAACTTTTTTGAACTTTGGAAATGTATCTTTACTTAAAATTCATTATACAAAAGCATTTACAAAATGTAAACATTTTTGTACAGTGGTTCCCAGATGTTGTCATTGGCAACAGATTTACTTTTGATTTCTTCCACATTAGTAGTATAGTTTGTCTCTTTTTGTTTACTACTATATTCCTAGACCCTGTAACAGTAGCTCGCATATAGAAGGGCTCCATTAATGTGGGAATCAGGGAGGTTTGGGTGGTAGCTGATATTACAAGTCCGTGGATGGGCATGTTTAACTTTCCCCACATGAAATGTTTTGAAGTTGTGTGGAGAGGAGGGTGATCGTGGCAGCATTTCTTTAGCCAATCAGATTGCACCTCAAGATAGAAGATTTTGATATGATCTCAGTTAATTACTTAGAATACTGTGCTTTGATTTTAGGCTATTGGTTTTAAACTGATCTGCACAGAGATCCTTGGGACAGTTTGGAGTTGAATTGGAGTCACTATTTAGCCCTTGGGGGAAAAAAAGCCTCAAGGCTCTTTGTGAGGGCTTTCTATAAGTTATGAGGGTAATATTTATTATTTATTATACAAATCCATGCTACCATTACATGGACGTGAGAGGCTTTCTTTCTCTCAAATGTAAACCATAGACTTTTTCTTCTGTTAATGGGAACTTAATTTAAGATCCTATAGTTAGAAAATTGGGCTTCTCAGCACATTGCATTTTATATTTTTAAGATACTGAACCAAATTAGATCTTGCAAATGTAGTACACCTTGGAAAACCCAATAGGAAATGCAAATTTTCAAGTATTGTTTATCTATAGAACTAGAAATTACAGTCCATACTTAAATTTTTTGTTTTTTGCTTTTCAAATTTTTAACACTCCAGAGTTACCTTATCCTAATTTGTTGCACAGAATTCTTTTCTTTGCTCCTTTTTCCTTATTGGAGATACATTGTTCTGTGTCAACTTTATATATAAATTGTCAGGGATAATCCACACACCTTGATCACAGGTAGAGATTTCCATAATAAATGGAATCTACTTTGTTTATATATATCATTTGATATTATATGTTGACATTTTGTTCAAACCTCTAAAGTTACATTTTCAGAAAAATTGGATCAAATATATGCCTATATAAATAAGCATATACAGCCCGTTGCTTAAATATATTTAGGTAATAGGTAAAAATATATGCTTACATAAACAAGGTATAACCTGTTGCTTAAATTACCATAGTTTCTTACTCATATCTACATTCTGATGATCAAATGATAGTTTTATCAATTACTTTAACATGAATTATGATGAGTTTTAACATCTATAGGCAAGGAGAGCCCCTTTGTACATTAAAACTGGGGATGAAGGAAGAAAGATAACTTTTATTGATCTAATAGTAAAGCAAGATTTTATTTATGTGAAGGAAGCGTTGGAAAAACATCAACAGGAGAAGAGTGAGATGGAATCTCGTATCAGGGAAACAACATTGGAAGAGTTTAGATTACAAGCTGAACAATGGGAAGCAGAAAGAAGAGAATTACAATTTATAGTACAGGTATTTTAAAAATAATAATTCAGTTCCTTAAATATATCTTTTTAATGCTTATGATATTCAAATTACGTTGGTGGGATAATTGACTCACTCAAAGGGAAAATACTTTCTAGTTTTGATTCTGGAAGGCCATGTTTCATATGCTGTTACGTAACAGTTGGGCAACTGTTACCAACAGATACCATTAGTGTTTAGAGTTCAGTGATTTCCATTGCATACATTATGTGATTTTTTAAGAAGGATGTGTATTTTTGGACGAATAGCTGTTTTGAATAAGATAAAGAAATGGAGTAATAGGATATTGGATATTAAAGAATCCTAACAAATCATATAGTGTAGTAATTTTTGAACTCTTTAAGAAGTACAAATTCTTAATTGTCCTCTATTCCTGCAACCCTGAAACACACAGAATCCTTGAGGCTTCTATAGTCCAGTTTGAAAATTACCGATTGCATCTAATCCCCTTTATACCTGAGCAGATGGAGATTTGGAATTTACTGACCTGAGTCAGTAATTTATAGTCAGTAAATTATAGACTGGATGATTAATGTAGGAAAAGACCGCAGGTCTCTGGATTCTTATTCCAGTGTACTTGCATTTTTTTCAGGAGTTTGTATGTATTTATTTTGAAGGAGAGGAAGGAGAAGCTCAAACTCAAACTATTGTGCTATTGTGTGTTTTAAAGGAAATTTGTGAAGTTAATCCTCTTTAAGAAAAAGCCCCACGAATCAACTAACTTAAAACTTCAAATACATTTCTATCATGTCTTCTAATTATTTATTTTGTGATAATACAATGTATTTTTGTAATTTTTCTACATAAATTGACAAACTAAAATAACCTAGATGTCAAAGATATGCATTTTTCACAAGAATGAAACATATCCACCTATAATAGGTTACTGTGTGTCACAAGCAACTTTGCAAGACAGAAGTTGACCAAAAATATGCAAAGAATAGAAGTCACTTGATTTTTTTAAGAGTAAAAGCCGGTGATGAACAGTGGAAATACTGAATTTGTTGTATATGTAATTATTGAAAATAGCAGTGAAACCACAGCTTTTGCAAACCTTTGGTCTTTGTGCAGTGCTTTTCTTCCCAGTCACCTCTTCTGTAGAATCTGCAAGGACAGTACAACCACCTTTTAGACCTGGTGTATTCTAAGTGTTTGTAGTTTGTGTAATTAGTTCATTAGTTTACTTGCTTGTTCATTCATTAATTCTCTAAGTACTTACCGAGTTACTGCTCTGGATACTGAGGCTAAAAAGCTAATTAAGATCTAGTTTCTGTCCTGGAAGATATTTCAATGCAGAAACATGTAAAGAGGAAAGTATTGTGTGATAAAATTTTAAATAAAATGCTGTAGGACCACAAAAGAGAAGTTGATTAGCTGCCTGGGAGACTGAGGAAGTCTTCTCAGAGAACATTATTTAAGTTGTTTTTGATAATTTTCTTAAAGGCTACTGGGCATAAACAAGCAAAATTAAGTGAATTAAAATAGGCCTTCTATTTCTAAACACTCAGCCAGTGGTCTAAATTTATAAAACATAATTCAAAGGCCTGTGTAAAAATATGTATACGATGTGATTTTGGTATAGCTTCCTGATCAATCCTATAAATCCTCCTAAATAAAACACAGTGGTTATACTGAAGTTTCTATATGAAGTGCTAAAATAAATTAAAATTAGGTGTCGGTCTTTCATAATGATGTGTACAGAAAAATGGGGAAATATGCCCCCGAGTTACTACCGATAGTATCTTGCTTTGCTGCTTTTGTAAGGTAAATTTTGTTGTATTTTGTAACTAGAATGTTTAGAGTTCTGTTTCTCAATTTCTTGTCTTTTTTTATAAGTAAAAGAAAATAACTTTTTCTTTTATAAATCAATCTTAAGAAACTGTTGTGACTTTGTGTTAAAAAATGTTTTTTTAGAAACAATCTGAAGGAGAGAGTGAAATTTTCTCTGTTGGCTTTTGATGGGTTTAGTTTTACATACTATAATTAGGTGTTAGTATCTAATAGTATTCTCTTTGTGTACCTCTCTAAGAGAATTCAGTTTTTTTTTTAAAACCTTCTCAGTGAAACCTTATCTTTAGCAGACAAAACTTGTTAGAATATTTCTCTTATCTGGGCTTTAGAATTTAGATCCATTATAAAAAGAAAATCTCAATTTTATGCCATGTTCTTTTTCATTATCAGGAGTTGGAGCACAAAATAGAGATATCCTTCTCTGGAATATTAACATGATTTCTTATTGGTGTTACCTAAAAAGTTACTCATTTTAAGATAGTGTTTCTCATTTCTTTCTTTTTTTTTTTGAGACAGTCTTTCTCTGTCACCCAGGCTGGAGTGCAGGGGCATAATCTTGGCTCACCGCAGCCTCCACCTCCTGGGTTCAAGTGATTCTTCTGCCTCAGCCTCCAGAGTGGCTGGGATTACAGGCACCTCCCACCATGCCTGGCTAATTTTTTTGTGTTTTTAGTAGAGTGTTAGCCAGGATGGTCTTGATCTCCTGACCTTGTGATCCACCTGCCTCGGCCTCCCAAAGTGCTGGGATTACAGTGAGAACCACTGTGCTCGGCCACAAGTGATTCTTCTGTGTAAATGCCTAGAAATATAATTGCTACGTCTTCAAGCTTATGGATTCACAATTATGATATATGTTGTACAAAGCACCAGTTGATATTCTCCAGCAACACTTTTAATTGTAGAACTTTGTTGGCCTTGGGGACTTAGACAAGAGGAATTGTTCTGGGTCTTTCAGGAGATAATCATGTAATAGATTAAGGTTGTAGTTAGCTATATTGATATCTTTTATAAGCTAGAAAAGAGGAGTACATTTAGCTCTGATACTTTTCTAACTATACTCGTGTAATTCTTCTGAATTGGAACGGAACCATATTTTGGATTCTGCAAAATGTTGTTTATATGCATATCCGTAAAAAAAATTATGCTTTTTGGGCTATGTTTCTGGAAGATGTGGAAAGAAAGCAAGTTTATTTTTTAAAAGCCAAATGTAGTTTCCTGTGATGTTAAATGTCAGTTCAAAACCAAGCCTCATTTTAAAATATTTTAAGTTCAACAGCCCCCTCTCGTGGCAAAAAGAAGAAACTTCCTCAATTTTTAATGCCCTTAATATGATTTTATGTCACACACACAGAAACACATACATAAGGATGCAAGTATGATTAGAAAATATGTTCTATAACAAAAATTTTAAATTTACATTTATTTGGGATGGAGGCAAATTTTTCTTTAAATTGCATGAGATATTTTGTATATTTCTTTTGGATTTTCTTGTGTGTTACAGTGCATCTCATAATTGGATTATATTGATAAAACCATAAACCTAAAGCAAATATTTGAACATACAACCCCGCCAGGGATTTATATTATCAATGCCCAATATGACCCAGCAATACCATTAATGTAACCGATACTCTCTATCTAGATCATGTTAGTGTTTGTCATATTTGCTTGAATTGTAAACAAACCGTAAATTGTTATATCGTTGAAGACAATTCTGAATCACTTCCCCATCCTGCCACCACTTCGGCCACAAAAGAATAACTGCCATTCTGAAGCTGGTGTTTAATTTTCTGTCTGTTTACATTGACTGTGTATTATATTGTTTGTAATGTTTTAGTATTTTGTATTTTAAGATATACCATATAGATGCTTCTTTGTCCAACTTGTATTTTTCACTTGTGTTTTTTTTTTTTAGACAGGGTCTCACTCTGTCACCCAGACTGGAGTGCAGTGGCACGATCTTGGCTTACTGCAACCTCTGCCTCCTGGTTTCAAGCAATCCTCCCACCTTAGCCTCCTGAGTAGCCGAGACCACAGGCACATTCCACCACACTGGGCTAATTTTTATATATTTAGTAGAGATGGGGTTTCACCAGGTTGGCTAGTCTAGTCTCGAACTCCTGAGCTCAAGTGATCCACCTGCCTTGGCCTATCAAAGTGCTGGAATTACAAGTGTGAGCCACCACGTCTGGCCTACTTGTGTTTTTGAGGTTTATTAAAGTTAATAAATTAGCTTCTGTTCACATAATTTAACTGCTGTATAGTATTATATCTTGTGTATGTGCTATAATTTACTCATTACCTGACTGCCTTGTCAATTTTCTATTGTTTATAATAGAATACATGAAGTTGGTTAATTTATAAATGAAAGGAATTTATTCTTACAGTTCTGGGGGTTGAGAAGTCTAATGGCAAGGGACTGCATCTGATGAGGGCCTTCTGGAGAGTTCAGAGCTCAGAGCTGCACAGGGCATTGCTTGCTGGTGGGCTGAGTGTGCCAGCTCAGGTCTCTCTTTATCTTCTTAAAAAGCCACCAGTTCCATTCTCATGATAACCTATTAATCCATTAATCCATGAATGGATTAACCCATTCATGAGGGCAGAGCTCTCATGAACCCAATCCCCTCTTAAAGACCCCACCTCTCACTACTGTCACATTGAGGATTACATTTCAACGTGAGTTTTGGAAGGGACAAACATTCAAACTATAACATTGACATTGAGATTTAAGTTCTTTCCAAGATCAAATTATTACAGGCAGTGATTCCATGAACATCAAATGTTTTTATGTGGGTATGTGTTTAATGTATATAAAATATGTGCCAAATTGTTCTCTTAAGTGGGTGTAACAATTTGAAAGAAGAGTTTTTCTTCCTTTACAGCCTCTTGGTATTTTTTCAGATTTAATTTCTTTTGAAATAGGGTATGTGTGAAATTGTATCTCATTCTTGCTTAAATTTCCTCTTCCTTGACAGTGACCATGTTATGTTCATTGGCCAGTCATATTTCTTTTTTGTGAAGTACCAGTTTATATTTTTTGTCTTTTTTCTTTTGGATTTTTTGGTATATTTTTATTGATTAATAGGAGCTTTTGGCCAGGGGTGTGGTGGCTCCTGCCTATAATCCCAGCACTTTAGGAGGCTGAGGTGGGAGAATTGCTTGAGCCCAGGAGTTAGAGACTAGCCTGGGCAACAGAG